TTGGCCCAGTCTTTATTTTCATGGTGCTTTTTGTGATTTCAATTAGTTTCTCAAGGCAGCACCTGTGTTAACCATCCCTTGAACATAATTAAATAAGAACATAGCTCTCTCTGAATTGATGTATTAACTTAAAGAATTGCCAATCAAAATTTCTAAGATTTCTGGTAGGAATGTTGAATATGGGCAAAATAGAACAAAGAGAAACTTAAAAGAGTAAGAATTTGAGCCTGAAAAAAAATTAATATGAAAGTAAATCTGAAAATTCTCCCCCAAACTTGGGCTACAGTAAGAAGAAATTAAGAAAGCCAAGATGTGCTGGTCTTCTTGGTAGTATAGAAGCACAGACTCTTCCACCTTCCAGCTGGTCTGAAGGAATGTGGATGGCTGAGCTCACATGGCCTGACATGTGGAGGTTGTTGTCAAGAGGCCCAGCTTCTGAACAGACACAAAAATCAGAGTCATTGTCCTAAGTCCACTCAAAAGCAATATTTTAATAGAGTACATTTTAAGATAAAATAAAAATAATCTGAGAATCTATAGACTGCTGTATCTCACAGACATTGGAGAGAGAGGCATGGAGAAAAAGTTGCTAAAATACTCAGGTTCTTCGAGGGTGTATAACTCTAAGAAAAAGAAATCAAAGAAATAACTACAGCCTCATGCGGTTATAAAGGGCCACCAGGTCTCTCAAGCCATTGATAGAATATTCCCCATGAGCAGAGTTGTTAGAGAAAGATCAGGCAATATTTCTCTGGCTCCGATGATCTTGTCTGGAAAACTGACTACACATCCACATAGTATATAGTCCCCAAAGTGACATACACAATATGCAATAGCCTCATACATAAAGGGTGGTTTTTGTTGTATTGTAAGATCTAACTTGATATGATTTACCATGGTACCTCAGGAAACATGATAGACCTATGTTCTCTATCCTATACTTTACAGGGTTTCCAAAGCACTTATATTATTTAAATATTGCCACGAGGTTTGCTTTCCCTGTTCCTCTTCTCCCTATCCAAGTAAAGATTGATTCTGGATGAGCACATTTTAAAGCTATCAAATGCTTTGCTCCTAAGCCATATTGTCAACAGTAAAATGACTCAGACATGGCACAAAGTATGATGTGATAATTACAATGATAGCAGCAACTAACTTTTATCATTCCTTCCATACAAACATGTATGGAGCACTTCCTATGTGCCAGGCTCTGTTCCAGGCAATGGAAGATACAGCAATGACGAAGTTCTGGCATTCACATTCTCCCCCATTCACATGGGGGAGACAACAAAATAATTGAATAAATAAATGAAGATAACAAGCTATACTGCAATACTTCCCATGAGGTAATTACAAGGAAAGATATGATAGAGAGTGACAGCATGAGGAGGGGCTGACCCTTCCACAGCTGGGGGTGGGGGAACCTGAGATGGACTCTCTGTGGTGGTGACATTTGAGCTGAGACCTGAAGCAACCAAAAAGATAGGGGTGAAGCATCTCGGGAAGAGGAAGCAGAAAATGCAGAATCCTTGAGACAGGAACAAGTTTGGTTTATTCTAGAATAAAAAAGAGGCCACAGTGGTGTGAAATGAGGTCAGGGATGTGGGCAGGAGCCAAACGGTGTGTGGTCCCAAAAGCCATGGAAGGAACTTGAATTTTATTCTGCATGAAATGGAGTCCTCAAGCATTTAAACAGCAGCTCTGACTGTGGACAGTGAAGGGATTGTAAGGTGTTAAGGGTGGAAAAGGAAGACTCGGGGACTGTGGCTATAGGAATAAGGCAGTGGAGATGAGGAGAAGTAGATGAACCCAGAAGATTTGGGAGGTAGAATTGATAGAATCTACTAGATTGTAGAAACTGAAGGAAAAGAAAAGTGGGGACTCCCTTGCTAAGCCCTTCCATTGTGCTGGCCACTGGACTAGATAAGCATTTGCATTTCCTATCGCATTTAATTTCTACAGCTACAATTATTAACCCCATCTTAAAGATGAGAAAACTTCAGCATAGAGAGGTAGAGTAACTTACCCACATTCAGGGGATTAGTAAGTGGCAGAGGCAGAAGTAAATCCAAGCAGCTTACTTCCAGAGACCCCACTCCTAACCAAGATATTACATGACATAATTCTAGCAATATTAATATTCTAAGACACTCTAAAAGTAGAGTTGGCATTTTCCTATTGGGTGGATAGTTACGCTTTCTCTTCCCTTTCTAGAGTTAAACCTTACAAGTTTCCAACTAAAGAAAGAGTTATTCTGTTTTCCTGTAATCTCAGGATTACAGTAAAGTCAGTTATACCATCAAATATAAGTAATTTTTTAGCCTGAGGGCTTAAAACAGACATTTACTCTCTTGGCAGCTACACTCCACACTCACCTCAGTTTTCATGTTCACATACCTTCCTCGATCAATATTAACAAACACAGTCTTTACTTTCTTATATCATGTTTCCTCCTCAGAAGGACAAGGCTTGATGACTTACCTGCCACAGTCAACTGCCGTGACAGCCAAGCAGGTGTGGCTGGGACTTTCTGACAACTATTAAGCAGCGGCTGCCTCCTGGGAAGGGCCATTCTCATCATCTAAAACCCAAACTGTGGATTTAGAAGAGCTTCATTTCAGAACTGAGCTCACCAGGATTCTCAAAGCAAGCCCAGATGAGGCCAAACCTAGCAAGGAATTTGAGCCTTGGAGGAGGATTTTAAAAAAACATGAAACTGTGGGTTCTCCTCATAGAACCCAGACTGGGATGATTAATCCATACTCCCAAACTGAAGGTGATCAGGCAGAGCCAAGCTGAACTTAGGTAGAGCACACCTCAGGGGGAAAAAAAAACAGTAATTCTCCATCCTCAATTTTTTTGCGATAGTTAACGAGTATCCCTGTAACTGAAGACTAGTTCCTTTCCAATGACCAGGGAATAACATCTTCTAATCTGCTGTATTTCTTTTCTCCAGAAGAGGTTTAATCACAATGGGCAATGAATCTCCAGATGTATCATGACATATGACAGATTTCTACCCAATCGGTTGTCATGAGGTTATAAAATGTTTTATAGGTCCTTGCTCATGTAGAGTTTTGAGCACTCTATATGTAATGAAGTTTTATACAGCTTCAAAATGTACTTTTCCCCCCTATGTAGTTATCCTGAGGGATATTTTATAATAATTCCCTAGTCTGAAGCTGCTATAATTTTCAAGTGTGTCATTTATATTTTTATTGAGCAAAAAAAATTATCAATTGGCCTTTATATCCATAAAACTAAACTATTTGCAAATTTTATTACCCTGAAATATTCACTGAGTTTCCCTAATAATTTCTACTCCCAAAGACTTGAAATAATCCATTTTCTAAACTTTTTTTCTTCTTTCTCCTTTATATGGAATTTCAACTTTCAATTTCAAAATTCAATTTCATTTAGCTGTGGTATTTTTATTTCACTAAATGAATCCAGAACCCTATGGGTAAAAGGTATGTTTAAATACATTTTTTTTTTTTGAGACAGAGTCTCACTCTGTTGCCCAGCTAGAGTGCTGTGGCGTCAGCCTAGCTCACAGCAACCTCAAACTCCTGGGCTTAAGCAATCCTTCCATCTCAGCCTCCCAAGTAGCTGGGACTAAAGGAATGCACCACCATGCCCGGCTAATTTTTTCTATATATGTTTTTAGTTGGCCAATTAATTTCTTTCTATTTTTAGTAGAGACAGGGTCTTGCTCTTGCTCAGGCTGGTTTCGAACTCCTGACCTTGAGCAATCCTCCTGCCTGGGCCTCTCAGAGTGCTAGGATTATAGGCATGAGCCACCACGCCCAGCCTATTTAAATACATTTAACAATGACATAAATATTTTCACAACAACTTGATTCTTCCTAGTCCTTTCTCTCCCCCATGCTCGCCCCCCATTTATCTCCAAACTATAATTCCTTCACAAATCTCTCAACTTAATACAGAAAAGTTGATAATTTCTAATACTGAGATAATTTCTAATCACTGAACATGAACAAACCCATAGCTATTTCAAAAGAAAATTCCACACACAGAGTAATACACTAGTAAGTAAAAAATCAAAATGAGCATTCATTCATATCTTCACATTCCCTAATCTACCTTTAAAAAAAAGTTTTTATCTGAGTCTATAAGTTATCTTTCTAGTTGGAGCAAGAATATACCCATGTGAATGTCTTAGATATCAGTCATTTTCAGCATTGATTCATTCATTATTCTAAAATTCTTTGTGTGCCTACTATCTATGCACCAGTGAGGTTTCATTCTTAAAATGGAGGTAAGTGAACTTTATCATCTTATGAAGATAAAGTTTATGAGAATTAGATGAAATGATTAAAGTACTTAGTGCAGTGTCTGACCCAGAAGTGCTAAATAAAAGCTGACAATGGGTAACACTGTTGAAAACAACAGCGGGCACTGGCAATACAAAGATAAATATTATTTTTATCAACCTCAGGTTGCTCAAAATCTGCAGGAAAGATAGATATATGGCTATAACAAGCACATGGTGACACCCTAAATACAGAAACGATATATCCCAGATTTTTCAGAATAACCCATATTTCAAATATTCTGCCCCACTGACAGACCTTTAGTTCAATATGTTTGATTATCCTGTTCATGAAATATGGTTTCTATAGCCATAATAAAAAAACAATTGAAACAAGAGAACACTGAAGAGGAATCAGAAACTCTTCCTTTTAACTAATGAATAGTTTTGTTGAAGAGTGTTATGCACATGAAATCATTGAAAAGCAAGATAAAACAGTACATAATCAGGCTCCACTGCTTAGACCATACAATAAGTGTTAAGGGCTCTATAAGAATTCAGAGGAGCTTTATAAAGAAATTACACTTTACGGAGAAACTGGGACTTGTGCTCAAACTTAATTGAGTCAGAATTTCATAGCAAGCGATGAGATTAACGGAGGAGGCTGGGCAGCAGAGAAGGTAGAGGTATAGGTCCAACTTCAGATTCTAAACTTTTTCTCTTGAAGATGAAAAACAACTGTGCTGAGGGTAGCAGGAGAAGACAAGTCTACTATGGATGCATTGATCAGGAATAATGTCTTCAAACAATGTATTTTCTAAAGCAGCTTTAGAAAAGGAATGCACTGGTTCCTGGACAACTTAGTGGAAACTGAAGGTATAAAAAGATTTTATTTAGCTATAAACAACCTTGCATTTATTTAGTACTTTTACCTTTGCAAAGTCCTTGCTGTGTGTTCTCACTTGAGTCTCACATGCTGCAACCAGTGGCCAGCTAAGAAGCAAGCTCCCCTGCTGGCCCTCAGCTATGTCTACAGTTCAGTGTTCTCACTTCTAGACACTGACTAAGTGATTCATGTCTCTACCTTGCTGAATAAGAAAGCACTATTAACGGATTTTGGCCTCAAGGAAATGTAAAATCTGCCTCAACGATTTGGGAAAGACATTTGGCTAATGTTATATAATTACTGATTAATTGATCTATTTCCTTCTTAAATTTTGGATATGAATTGAGACCATTTGGAAGCTAAGTAAGAGCTCTCACATTGTGGATTCCCTCGTGTAATAAGTGGTAGGCATATAATTGTGTTTCAGAAGTAATCAGAGGAAAAGAACTAGAAAACATTAAGGGTTCTTTAAATTGTCCAGTAATATAAAATAGTAAGGGCTGTCTTTTGATCATGGAAATAAATGTACTGTTATATATACAGCTCTCCAGGAACATGTCCTCCCACTCCCATTTGTTAGAGGAGTAGAATGTTCCCTCTGTACCGGGGCTGGGAAATGTTTGGAAATGATGCATGTCAAGCAAATTTATAGTATCCCCAATTGATCTTTAGCATTTTAGTCTGTAGTAGCTACTCTTGGCAAACCAAGAAATCTGGTTTTAAGTGGAGTTAACAGCACCACGTAGACCCAACACAGCCCTTCTTGATCATAAGACTGTGGATTTTCCCATCTGGCAGAGAATAATGACTTTGATTTAAAGAACATCTTGACTCTGTTCTCTTCAGTTACATTTACAGTTAAGGCATTGATTCTTTTTGTAAATTCTTTCAACTTCCTCACCACTGCTTTTCAAAAGAGTAACTTAAATATTTACAGGCTAAGCAGTTTGCCCCAAGTCACCTAGGGAGTCGAGATGTGATTAAAGTAGCCACTGTTGGGAGCCACAGTGAGGAGCTCCTAGAATTTACAAAGTTAAGAAAAACCCTTCTTAGAGATCGAAGTCAGTAAGACTCAATATAAAATAGAGTTTAGACAGCCATCGGAGCAGATACCCCTATGAAACAGTTTACAAGCATGCTGCCTCCTGAAACTGCAGAAATTAGTATAAATCCTCAGAAAGATGGCTGAAATAAAACTGATAGAAAAGAACACTCACTGAAATTTAGCTAGCATTGGTCAAGGATGGCTTTGGGGAAAAGGCTTTTTAAAGACAATGTATTAATGAAGATTTCTTCATGTTTATCAAGCACTCTTAAAGTAGAAAGAAATCATTTCTCAGCAATGCTCTGACATTGCTATCACTCTGCATTGACCAAGAGACACTGAGGTCTTTAACTTAGGGTACCTGTGTGGAGGTACTTGCCAAAGAAGGAAGACACTTAAAACTATGTAATTGGCAAAGAATTATGCTAGATGTTTTTTGGTACCAAAATTTAGTGCACAGGAATTCTGACTTGCCTTGTGAGTTTCATTAGTAAGATCCAGTCTCCTGTGGGTTAATCATCTCTGTGTAATTGACAAAATTAAGTTTCTGAATGTGTGAAGTTGAGGACCAGTTCATTGTACGTGATACCCTCTCCAAGGTACTGATTCCCATGGGGTTCTGCCAGTGGCTGCCAGACAGCCTCACTCTGGACTTGTTCATACCTGTGGTATTTCCATCTAGTACCCTAGAACAGTGCTTCTCAAGCTTTAAGATGCTTTCAAATAACCTGAGGATCCATTTAAAACATAAACCTCTACCGATGCTCAACAAGTCAAACAGATGCATTATTTTTGCTGCACGGAATCTAAAATGGTTCAGTTTCCTTGTCCGTGTGAAATAAGAGGTTCAATGAACTCTTGATAGTGAGCAGGTTTGTTCTCTCGAACCATTTATGAAGGACTGGTAATTACTGGGGTAGTTCTATCATGGGAAGGAGTCTGAAGCTGTTCCAGGAAAGGGCAATTGATTAGTAATGTCTACCATGTGTTTAAGATGGAAAAAACATGGCAGGCATGTCATATATTTAAAATCCTATGTAGATAATCTCTAAACTTTTTAATTTTCCATGATTCTTGGAATTCATAGTCTTATTTTAGACATCTTGGGAAAGAGAAAAATTTATTTGCATAATGAAGACAAGTCATCTAGAATCCCAATATTTAACATTTGTGAGTGTGTATGTTTATGTGTGTAACAGGAACAGTTGTAAAGCCTAGACTTTTGAGTTCAAATTTTCTCTAGAGAAGTTCCAAAAATAACACATACCTCTAGCTCACTGGCCTCTGTCATCGTGATACTACAGCTTTGTTTGTGTGGTCAGAAGTAAAAAGGATGTGTCTACCACACTGCCAGAATTTCCAAGTGCTGCTGTGAAATACATTAGTTAAATTTTAATGGGCCATGGAGGAGATCCAGGTAAAACATGAGGAAGTTATGAAAAGATGGGAAGTTCTTCTTTCCTTCTCTAGCTCCCTTTGTTCTTGCTCTTATTCAATTCAGTTTAATACATATTAAGATCTAAAAGAAAGAGGTCACTTAAATGTCTATCCATTTGATAGAATTTTATACAGCCATTAACGCTGTCAACGAAAACTTTGTAGTAACAATGTGAAATAGTCATGTTCTAAGGTAGGAGGAAAATAGGATATGAAAATGCCCACACTATTAAAATATATGCATGGGGAAGGAGGAAGATGGAGTGAAAATAGCCTCAAAAGATTAACTGTTATTTCTTAAAGAATATAAATCTACAAGTGCAATGTTTCTTAATTTTCCAAGTTTGTTACCATAACCACACTACCGTAATGTATCTATATTGCTTTTACAAAAAGCAATAAATTACAAAGAAAACTCACCATGTTTTAAAGTACTTACCATGATTTAAATGATTGTTTGCCTTGTTAATTATAAAAGTAATTTCACAATGTTAAGTCAAACTGGGAAATGTGGATTCTCCTATCACTTGTTACTTGGCAACTCAACAATATTACTTCTAGTTTATTCCCATAAATATATTTTGAAGTTTGAAATAAAAAAAAGGAGAAAAGTGTGGCTGAAGTGTGAGGCTGTAAAACTCAAAGGAAGCTAGAAATGTTTGGAATTAAGAAAAGAGAATTATATGTTAATTCAAAACCCATCTTCCCATAAGTTCAGGACTTCAAAAACTAGTGCAAGCAATGTAATTAACAGTCAAAAGAACATGCACCCTTCTGAATGGTAATGAACTGATGCAAGAGATTCAAACTGGGGTGATTCTACAAATGATTTTGTCTTTCTTTGTTTTAGGCTGACTGCATGGAACAAAAGGCAGCTTTTCCCACATGTGAAAAGAAATCATGATAACATGGATAACATAAATAATAATTACCTAGTATTTCCCTGTATACAAAACACTTTCAGTTTATTTTAACTTTCTCTTAACAATTCTGGGAGGTAGATAGAGTTTATGCTCACTTTATAGATTATGATACTGAGGCTCAGACACATTAACTGTCTTGTCCAAGATTACACAGTTAGAATAAGATTCAAATTCAAATTCTCAAGCATTTTCACTACTGCCACTGTAGAAGATTGACTATTTTTATGAAAAATTCTGCCCTCTCTAACAGAATGTGAAAGATTGTATCATCAAAAGACTCCTGGTTAAAGCTTTTAGCACAGTGATGCTCAGAGGTGCACACAAACATTTGGAGGGGTTTTTTGAAGGGTACACCAGAACCCCCATGGGATTCTCTTACATAATACCTTCCCAAAGGCACTATGTTCCCTACGCCCATAGCACTGCACCTCCATTGCACACCAGCATTACTGTTGTGCATTGTTACTGTGTTCTGTCATTCATGGGTACTGAGACAAGAGAAGGTTTTGAAAATTATTGTTTTGGCAGAAGAAAAACTCTAGGGAACCTGAAACTTACTGTGGATGAGAGTTAGAAAGGTATTAGAGCTCTAGACAGAGCCTGGACATGTCAAGAAACACTCCAAAATTGGGTGGTTTTTCTTAAAGAAGGGTCAAAAGTCATTAATGAGACTCCGGGTGCTGGTTGCTCTCCATTTGTGTATCACCCCATGTCCATTCTCAGTTCTTCTCTGGCCTAGATGCCCTGTGGGGGTCAGCCAATGGAAGGCAGCAGCAGGAGAGATGAGGGTTTTTCTCCAATGCCTGCTCCCTTCTGGGCCCCATGGTTTACAATTATCCTCTCTTACTACAGCTCCTATCACACAATTCCCCTTCCATAGCTGCAATTCTTTTTTTTTTATTTCAGCATATTATGGGAGTATAAACGTTAAGGTTACATACATTGTCCATGCCTCCCCTTACCCCTCGAAGTCAGAGCTTCAAGCATGTCCATCCCCCAGACAGTGTGCATTGCACTCACTATGTATGTATATACCCATCCCCTCCTCCCCACTCCCACCTGCCCAACACCAGATAAATGTGTGTGTTTTTTTGACATTTTGGTTATATTCTATATCTTTGCCTCTCCCTAACAAGGGTTAGAGGTATGCCCTTCCCCTCCACAATGCTCACCACATCCCTCAGATGTGGGACAACCCCCCCCCCAAATCCCTGGTAAACAATACCACCCTTTGAGCACCATGATGTTAACCAGTCCATTATTCTGATCTTGTGTCGCCTCACTTTGAATGAGCTTAAGCTCATCCAGGATAATATAAGCAGTGCTAGGTTGCTGTCATTTCTTAGAATTGAGTAATATTCCATTGTAAACATATACCAAATTTTAATAATCCACTCATGAATTGACAGACACTTGGGTTGTTTCCATGTTCTTGCAAATTGTGCTGCCATAAACATTCAGGTGTAGATGTCTTTATAATAGAATGTCTTATGCTCTTTTGGGTAAATGCCTAATAATGCTATTGCTGGGTCAATTTCTATTTTTAGCTCTTTGAGATATCTCCAATTCTTTTGAGATATCTCCAAATTCTTTTCCACAAAGGTTGCACTAATTTGGAGTCCCACCAGCAGTGTAAGAGTGTTCCTATCTCTCCACATCCTTGCCAGTATTTGTTGTTTTGGGATTTCTTGATACAGGCCAATCTCACTGGGGTTAGGTGATATCTCATTGTGGGTTTGATTTGCATTTCACTAATGATTAGCGATGTTGAGCTACATGCAAAAGAATGAATCAGGATCCCTACCTCTCACCTCTCACAAAAATCCACTCAAGATGGATAACAGATTTAAACCTAAGGCATGAAACCTTAAGAATCCTAGAAGAAGATGTTGGGAAAACCCTTTCAGACATTGGCCTAGGCAAAGAATTCTTGAAGAAGATCCCCAAAGCAATCACGGCAGCAACAAAAATAAACAAATGGGATCTGATCAAATTAAAAAGCTTCTGCATAGCCAAGGAAACTATCGTTAGAGCAAATAGACAACCTACAGAATGGGAGAAAATATTTGCTCACTACACTTCCGATAAAGGTCTGATAACAATCTATCTAGAGCTCAAAACAATTAACAAGAAAAAATCGAACAACCCCATCAAAAAATGGGCAACAGAAATTAACAGAAACTTTTCTAAAGAAGACACAGTAATGGCCAGCAAACATAGCCGTAATTCTTAATGGACCCTCCCTGCTTCCATCCCGGAAACAAGTTCTCCTTGTTGCTGGTCCCTCAGTGCCTTAACATCCCTCATTGGTCCTTTTAACCCTGCCCACAGCTCTATAAATTGCCCCTTTATTAAACTCTTTTCAAAATCTCAACTGAGAATGCCTAAAAATTGATAATGGGCAGAGAGATTGATATAAAAATTCCTGCTTATATCTATTCATATTTCTTTCAATTCTCCTCAAAATACCTTTAAATGCTATGCTACTGTAATTAGTTGACATTACTGCATTGGTATTTTACCAAAGAATATGTTCTTATTTTGTTAATATCTAATTTAACCTAAATAATGCACAAGGTCCCATGTGGCTCAGTCTTAACTGAGAGTTATGGTCAAAGGAAACACAAATCTGCTTTCATAAACTTTGGACAATATTGTAGATATTTTCTGTAGATTTTTTTAAATGGATCATCCAGGGGTTTTATACAAATCTTGGATGCCAAACACAAAGTTTTCCAGAAATTGTCTTTAAGATTCATGACTTATCTCTGAAATTCCACACTCAGTAACTGCTACAATTTCTCCTATTCCCTCTCATTTTTGAGGCTGCTTCACCACAATTCTGCTCTCTGGTCACCTCCTCCACTTGCCTGTGAGCTCCTTCCCAGGTTTCCCAGCCAGGGTATGACCACCAGGACTTTCCCACTCTCTGGACAGCTGGCTGAAGAACTCACTGTGTAATCAACCCCATGTCACCTGGTCCTTTCTCAATATCCTGATAAGGAAGCAGGCAGCCTTCTGGGAATTTCTTTGATCTTTTTTCATAAATACATTTCATGGAAAACTTCTGATGAATAAAATTCTTCTCTTCACTTCAGTGAGAAGCATGTTATATACTAAAGGTATCCTTGCCTAAGTGGAAAAGTCTTGCCCCTTGTACCTCGAGCCTGTAGCCTAAACACTGAGCCCCCAAATATAAACATACTACCCAAGAGAAAGTGAATCGTCTGCCTTGGGGAGAGAACCCTGACGCTGAAGATAGAGCAAAAATCACTCCAGGGGTAAAAACCCACTGATGAATGTCATTGTACTCAATGTTTATTTATTTTAGAGAATTGTTTATTCACTAAAAAAAAAAAAAAATCAAGATGTTTTCCTTTCTAGAAAGAAAAAAGCAGACATAAACATTTTTTGAGGAGACCAAAAGTATCTCACTAAAGGAAGAAAATATGGTAAGGCTGCGGCCAAATCTATGATGAAAGAGTCAGAAAGAATAGCAAAATCATGCAGGTTTCTTTCTATAGGAAATCCAGACTGCAAGCCATTAAGTCCTATACATTTACCTCAAAAATTCAGCTCTGTTACACAAGATTTGGGATAATTATATAAAATTATAGGATAGACTCCGGCCAAGAATAATCTCATCAATTTTCAATGTCACTGCCATAGAACAGAGCAAAAGTAGAGGAAAAACTAAAGGAAAACTGGAGAATTGCATATACTCTGCCTCAAGTTTTAAGTCCCCCATCTAACTTACATAAGATGCCTTAATACTGCTTGCAGGGACAAAACCAACAACCCAAAGAACAGAGGCACAGGTGGGAGCAGCGGGCTGGAGGGGCCAACCATGTGGCAAGCCAACCTCCCCAGGAATCACTTGCACAGCTTTGAGAGGAAAAAAGGCTCCTTTTTTCTTCAAAGTCAGCATAAAATTCTGGGACATCTTCCTTCATCTACTCGCTGACAAGTAGAGAGTATATCTGAGAAAAGATGAGTTATCAAGTTACAAATCTGTGTGGCTGTAATCCTGAATAATTCCCAGGAAATTCACCTGATGGGCAAGTAGCTGGACCAAGAGGTCACCCCCAGTGGCTCACTGCACTAAGAATTTCCAGCAAATAAAACAATGCACAAATGAGGCTGCCCATGCCCACATCTTCAGCTTCCACAAATATTTCTCAGGTAGGACAGCCCTATAAAAAGGAGCACACTGCTTTTTCAATTCCCCAGGCTTTGAGAGAGAGAAGTTCAGGGAGAACTTAATATTAGAAGTGATGCGGGTGGAGAGAATACAGAATTGACAGTAAGAGCTCTGATCAGACCAAGGGAGAGGTCTCTATCACAGATAGCATTCCCCTTTCTATTGGGAATTCTAGAAAACCAGAGTCAGGGAACAGGGTTGAGGTGTCCTTCTGAATGGGCCTTTGGATGTTTCTCCAACTAGAACTTCGCATCTGCAGTAAAGCCCAGTTGGGAGTAAGGATAGACTGAATGGTTACAGCCTAGGCTCTGGTTTCAGAAAGACTCGTGCCTGAATCCCAGCTCCTCTGCTCACATCTTGTCCTTATCCTCTCTAGTTTCAGTTGTCTCATCTGCAAAATGGGGCTGTTGTGAAGATAAAATACTTGGCACAGTGCCTGGCAGATAAGAAGCACTCAACAAAATGGTGGCTTTGGTATCATGACACACACATTCACTGATACCTTTTCCCTCTCCCCTTTTTATGTTTGGTAGTTGCTCTCCAGAAACCCTCCTTAGGCTCAGAGAGAGTTTTTCCCTAAAAGAATACTGCTCTTTCATCTCCGGCGCTGGTTGACTATTGATGTTGGCTGCATAAGCAGTGATCTGACACCACCCCCCTTCTCCTCTAAACCATCTCCCCCTATGCCTCACATGACAAGCCAAAGTCAGACCCAGCTGGAAAACTAGGTAAAATGTAAAAATCCATGAAGTCAGCTGTTTTCTATTAGAAACATAATACAATAATCATACCCACAACCTCTTTTGTAGGGAGCAATGAACTG